AAAAATAGATAGATAGCAAGATAGCAACTTATTATACATGGCTGCCACTTACCTACAGACTACTGGCAAGAAAAAAATCTTTCCTTATACCCAAACTTCCTGTTCTTATGGGAAACACAATATATCAGGACACTGATTGTAGGACTATGTTGTAAAACATTTCATAAGATCTTAAAATTATAGGGATGTGGATCAGCATTGTAGTATGAGTTCATCTGGAGTCTGAGCCAAAGACCATATTTTCATGATCTTGGTCTTGTCATAGACCTTGACTTGGATCATTTTGACTTGGTCTTGACTCGGATTCAGCCATCCTCTGGTCTCGGTCTCAACTCAGACTCAACCTACTCAGGTCATGACTACAATACTGATGTGGATGCTATTTGCAGGTTCGTTTCAAAATAAACTGAGCAATTGAATCCCTTCACAAGGGACCAATTAGCCAAGGGTACATTCACTTCAAGAAAGTAATTTTATCGTTTACGATCATGTGATATCGGGTGACACATCCTCCCAATTCATTTTGAGGTAATTTATCACAGATATTATGGGATTTAATCCCAACTGTAATATTTGTGAAACATTTTTCTTAAACAATCGAGCACCACAGAACCAGCCAGTTGAAATAAATGTGTAAAAAATAAGTTTATTATAATGACACACAGAGGCCATATTTAATTCAAATATTTATTTGCAACAGCTATGTTAATCTATAAACCTGAACTTTGCGATTACTGTATGTCATCAAGGTAACATTCAGATTTCAGATTCATATTAAAGTGGCAGGAAAGTATGGCTTTGTGTAGGATGTTTCAAATGGCCACATACAGTACTAGACTTCAGTTGTTCTGCCCTTCGCAGTGGCTAGGATAGAATGATGCTCACTTTTGAATGGAATTCACCCTCAGAGTCTGTATGAGAAATAAAGAAGGTAAGCACACATCATTTAGGCCTTATATAAATATGAAGAAAAATTACAATCACTAGCTACCTTGAACCTGCTATTTCTTTTTCTTATATTGTGAGGATAAAGATTGTAGTCATCAACCGTCCCTTCAAGTGTCTCATATTTAAAATTGCAATGTCCCTCACAACCGGCACTGGCTGTCTCTCAAGATTGATTAAAGTGTATGGATTCCAGAACAATTGGAGCATAGCCTATGCCATCAACCACAATCAAATCTGACCTCATTCATTTTCCATTAATAGTGCAGCTTTCTGATTAGCCTGCAAATGAACAACCATATGACTTGCATTTCAGGAGGACACAGGCATTGAGACCCTCAGACGCTAATTTTCAGGTTATGAGCAGAGCAGCGAGTATCAGAAGCAGATGAAGAAAACTGGGGTCGTCTTTAATAAGACAAAATTGGCAATGATTCTTTTCCTTGCGATCATATTTGACGGCAAACTACAACCAGCAGGGCAGTCAGGGTAGTTTGATTGTTTTTAAATAATGAGGTATTGTGCTGCACGGTACACACTTCAAACTGAAAATTGAAAAGCTGTCCTTCATGGTATGTCATTCCCTAACATCTCCAATTATCTGGCTCCATGCCTCCCTGTTTATTTATTGAGACTGTCAATTCGTATTATGAATCGCACGACAAAAATATAGATCCCCTCCTCGTTCTTTTGTGTCTGCGCATGCTTCAGGATGCACGCGATGCACATCCGTATGCATGTATCTGTGAACAAGAAAGCAGGAAATAAAATTGTAGGAGAAACAGAATCACAGCAGATATTCCTATGACAATTATGACGTTCCTGCAAAAGCAGAATTTCTTCTCCACACACTGGTCCTGTCATGCAGTCTGTCAAGTGAACAGATGATTTAATGAACCCATCAATCATAGAATACAAAAGCGAAGTATAGTCCACTTCTTGATCCTCTGATTTTTTAATTGGTTCCCACGAGACACAATGTTTTTCCACATCAAAATAAGTTTTACCCCACAATTATAACTGACTCTGCTGCTAACAATCATGCGAGACGGGTGTGACGCCAACGACTAAGATGGCAAAACTGGATTGAGTTAAACATTAAAGATGAGACTTTCGTTTTGGGGTGGAGGCATTTGAAGCAAGGGCTATAAGAAGAGTCAACTTGAGTGTTTGTGAGTGTGGGTGTGCGTTTCCAATGTGGCCAACATGTTTTTGGTGGTGTACAGGGAAACCCTTTTTAGACGGACCATGTTGGGACTCCACGCATGAGTCCCTTGCAGTGAATGGCAGGTCATCTGCATGGAACAGACAGCACAGGAGAAGCGGTAGGCTCTGAACAGGCTTTATGAAGACACATAGAGTCACTATGGAGACAGCAATCAGAATCCCCCTGGGACCCCGGCGGACAGAAGAGGGAGAATGAGAGGCAGATGACTCTGGAAATAAGCGGTAGACTCCATGATTCAAGTGACAGCCCATCCCAGTTCTCCATCTCCTGAACGATTTTTAACCAGGTTTGTTATATACAATAAAATCCGGAAAAGGCTACGGTGCTTGACAAATAGAAAATCCTGCAACATCGATAACGCAATTACAGTGAGAGTGAGAAAACGGTGCTCTTTACATGATCCCTCAGTAGCATGCAACACACTGGGTGGATTCTTAACTTCATAAGGTTTGCCTATAATGTTATTATTCTAAATGGATTTAGCATTAAAAGTTGCAATGTTGACTCGGTGGAGGTACAAACTGTTCTGTAATAGCATAAAACAAATATGATGCAGTTTTAAGTAATGTACACTTAAATTAAGCTCATACGCACACATAAACACCCTCTATGACGTAAAAATGGTAGCATTCTCTCTCGTTCTCCAATGCTCTCTCCAGCTCCCTTTTTTTAGTTGGCTTCAGTCCACCCCAACAGATGGGTCGGTGTCAATAGGCTGCTATTAACTGGACACACGCCTCTCATGGGGACTGGAGCCCAGATCATACTGTACCATACGCAGTTTTCAAAAAAAAGAAGAAAGAAAGAAACAGCTCGTTTTCCTGCAGTCATACCCATTTTCAGCTAACCTCCGCTTTTCACACTCTAGAAACAAAACAGGCTAGAAGAAAGAAAGAAACAGCTCGTTTTCCTGCAGTCATACCCACTTTCAGCTAACCTCCGCTTTTCACACTCTAGAAACAAAACAGGCTGAAAATGACTTATTCTTGCCTGCTTTGTTATTTTGAGAGAAAAACATATGGTTTTGTGGTTTGTATTGTACCTGAGTTTAGCTGCGTCCGTTGGCATGATGATGATTAGGCTTCGTCGTAGACAATATGATATTTAATATTAAACAATTAATAGTTGATTGTTTAGCACAAAACATCATAATGAATCTTGACTAATTTTATCCATTCTTCTTAATTACAGCTAAACATTTTAAATTAAACATCTTGTGAAAGTCTAATTTAGTATGCATATTTAATTTTTTTTTTTTTTAATGGTAAGATTACAGTGCTATGCAGTCATTGGCTGATGGGAATACATCTGCAAGTCTATGACTAAATCAATGAATAACAATGACCTCATGATTGCTCATACTTTTTAAAGTTTGTCTATATAAAAGAATTATAAAGGGACATAAAACAACACATTTTAAAATCTAAAGCCGACAATGAGAGTCACTAAAACCAGTTATTTATAGTAAAAAAAAAAAAATGTATTAAGTTAAAATAAATATTATGATTTAAATATAATTTGATTACTGCATTAATCTATAAAAAAGGGCTGCACAGAAAATAACCTCACATATGTTGGTCAAGAGTCCAGTTATCTGTTATTCTATGCCATTCTCAAACAAAATTAAAGGGTTTGGTTGTTGACGTTTAATTATTGAGATGACAGGCCATTAATCCTCTGGTTTCTGATATTATGTGGGAACCGGTGTTTATATTTCCATCTAACTATTATTATATTATATTCTTTTCTATCTTTTTTCAATATTTTAAAATACTTCTGATTAATTATAATAATTATATTTAAGCAAATACCAACACAACACAATTGGAAGACAAATACTGCAATTTAATAATCAGGCAGTATGCCCATTGTTCATATATATGACTCCAAAAGGTAATTGAACACTTAAGCCACAATGTATAAATTTCACTGCATCAAACACAGTATCAAACCAAGCAGCATAAGTAAACAAATGATGCTAGTTCTTTCAGAACTAACCAAGGTCAAGTAATATTAGTATGAAACAACTTCACACAAGTGCTGCTAGCAGAGTAAGCACAGGTGTAGTTCTTTACATGAACTATGGATATGTTCTACTTACATTCGATAACCAGAAAGTATGGTTGTTCAACCCTTCTTTTTCAGTGGCATTTATATATTTACATTCATACGTAAGTGCCCAAATGCATTTTTGGGGCATTGTAGCTATGTAAACAGTGAATTGGAAGCATTGAATTGTCTACAGTTACACCAACGTCTTGCTCTAATGCTATTTTAGAGGAAGAGATGTAAGCAAATATGCTCCGGAAATGATATGCTGACATCTCAGCTGGGGTTTTCTCCGGCTAGGTGCCACTGGTCAGAGTTTTCTTAATGCTATTGGTCTATAAATCAACCCCGTTCCCATACATCAAATGCGGCTGTCGCAAGGCGACTGAGGCGCGGGGGGAGGCGAGAGAGAGGAGAACGGAGGTGAGCGGGTGCCAAAGCAATCATGTGTTCCCCACAAGCAGCAGGAGGAGAGCCGTGAAGCCAAACGGAGAGGAAAAGATGAGCCAGGAAAGGCAGATGTGCCTGTGTCATGTCTGTTATGAACAGTCTTCCCACCTTGTGGTAACACTGTGAACTGTAACTGCAGGAGAGCGTGATCGAGAAATAGAGAGAGGGAGCGAGTGGAGGGTGGGGTGGGGGTAAAGAGAGATAGAGAGAGAGGGAGTGTGAGGAAGGGAGGGAGCAAGGAAGGAGAGAGAAAGAGAAAGGGTGAGGATGGAGAGAGAGAGAGAAAGAGAGAGAGAGAGAAAGAGAGAGAGAGAGGAGTTTAAACTAAGAGCTATGTTTTGGGACGAACTAATCTGCTAGAGAGCAGTGTGAGGATCGGAACGCATTGTGCGAGCGAGTGTGTGGAGGACAGATAAGGGAAGAAGCCCGGCAGACCGACTGCTTGTTTTAATGTGCTGACTCTGGGGAGCTAAAAAAAAAATAAAAAATTTGACTCTTCAGTCGTGCGGCGTGAGCCAGGGCACAAGCGCCACATTTAACAGAGGTGCACCAGAAAACACGGGCGCGAGAGAGGAGAAAATACATCCAGCCAGACAGCATATATAGAGGATTTCTCCTTCCTTTTCTTCTTTTTTTTAATCTGTTCATTTTTCTTTATTTTTTTTTCTCGGGACTAATTCCCATTTCCAGTAGAGAAAAAGGAGCCGTAGAGCCACGAGAACGCAAAAAAACCCCACCAAAAAGCGACGAGAAACGAAACACCGCCAACAAGATGTTTGAAATCAGCCGAACACTGAATGCTGCTTTGTTGAGCAATGAGGTAAAGGAATTGGATTTTCTTCTTCTGTCACCTCACTTCTCTAGGTGTGTGTTCATTATTCCATCGTGCGTAACGTTTCTATGTTTTATCAGTGTGTCCCTGCTTCTAAATGTGGCAGCTGACAGGTCTAAATGAATGTGCAGGGATTGAGCATTTAGGTCCAGTTAGACGGCTGCTAGCTGAAGGCAGAACCTCTTTGCTCTCCGGGCGTACTGTAATGGATGAGAGACTAGACTCGCTCTCTCTCCCTCTCCCACGCACAATCATTTCATTTTCTCATTTACTCAAAGCAAGATAGCTGTAACTGCTGAGCTTGCTTGATGACTTGCCCATCTGGGGCTTGCACTGACTGTGTGCGTGCGTGCGTGCGTGTTTGTGTGTGTGTGTGTGTGTGTGTGTAGCGCGAATGTGAACGTAAGCACACGGCTCTCTATCACTGTGGCAGTCCAGTTTTCTCTTTCCTTCCGCCTCTTGCTTTTTTCTTTAGCCTGTATATTTTGTTACCACCTTGGCTAGCATTCTGTTCTCTTCCTCTTCTTTTCTCCTCTTCCCTGTAAACGCGCACCTCACAAGCAGTGTCTGAAGATGATGGTAAGGTGTTCACAGAACTCGGCAGTAGCCCAGGCGGAAGGCTCCTTCCCAGGCATGGGCTCGCTGCTTTTCCCCCAAGATCCATCCAGCCAACTGGGTGCCAGGGCACTGGGGGTAAGAGGATAGACGGATCCGTCAGACAAACGAATGAGAAAATAGATGTCACAGTAGAATAAGAATACTAAGTTCATTTAGGTAAATGTGTGCAGCCCTTAGACTTGAATTAACCAATGTTTTTATGCCTCATTGTGTGATGATACGGCCGCCCACTCCGACTAGATCTTTCTATCAGTTAGCCAGAGAGAAAGAGAAAGAGAGAGACAGATTGCGAGAGAAAAAGCAGCTTGTGTTAGTGTATTGTTTGTGTATTCCTGCTCAGAATGTGTTTGTGCGGTGGTGTACTGATGCCTGAAATTGAAAGTGCGCCGCGTGTGTGTGTTGAGCGTGTATGCTTAAAGTGATTTGAGCATAGTGAGGTTAGATGGCTAAAGGACAGATTTTTGTATGTACATTTTGTTTCGGGCATCATTTTGAATTTCAAACAACTTTCCGAATGTGTTGTGCTGGTGCTCTGCAGCCTTTTAGCACAAACGTGCTCGAAAACATGTAAAATAGAAAGCATGTTTCTGATTAGTATTATGTTACAAACTAACTCAATATATGAATGGCTATTGTAATTATTTCATTTTGTAGCACATTAAAATGTAGTTGTTTTATTTCTCCACTGATAGGTGGCCATAATTGAGCATACTAGTAGATAAATAGCTGGCTAAGGCTTTTCCTGATTATAATGAATGTGCTTTTACTCAAGTCTGGAGCTATGAAAGTGGATAACCATCCTTTACGTTCTCACACAGTCATTTCTGATCTTCTACTACAGTCTTGGGGGGGAAGAGAGATGGCTGTATGGGAAAGCCCTGGCTGGCTGGCTGGTGCTGTAAGCGCCGGTCGGTTAAGAATAAATCCCTGACTTGGTGCATTAAATCAACACGAAACTGTGGGTGTCTAATCTGTGATGGGCTCTCGTTCCTCATCTCCACAAAACAGGATCAGCCTGCCTGCCTGGAGCCGCACCACATTCTCACACAAATCAGACTCATACTGACAGCACTGGAGCTCCTCTCTGCCAGTGCACAAACACACACACGCAAGTGTACATACACACACTGCGATCGCATGCAGCTGGGTGTTCATCGGCAGAGAGAGCAGATTTTTAAATCCTTCTTTGCAACCTTTCTGAGGTGTGTGTACACACTTGCCTTAAAATCCTCCGCAGCTCAGGGATTTGAAACATTTTGCATATTCATCCTGGTGATTCTCAAGCTCTAAGAAGATAGAAAAAAGAAACAAGGCATGTAAAGTCACAACCACAAATATTCTCATTTGAACTACAACATTTTTACAAGTTAATCAGGAAAATCATTGTCATCTAGCAATCAGTCACTATTTGGCCTGGGAAAGCAGAAAATCTATGCAACATTTAATATATAATGAAAATTAGTGACAGCGATATGTATGCGTCACTAGTTGTTGGGAACCGTGTGATTGCGCAAAGTGATGTTCTATTTTTTTCACATAGGCAGAACACTGATTCAGTTCACAAAAGTAGAATTTTTTTAAGATGGTTTAATGAGAGGTGGTTTCTCTCTGTTTCTCTTTCCACCTCGAGAGACTGTCAACAAACTGTTTTAATGTTCTGCTTCTGCACATTTCGTGTTAAATATAGAATTAATAGAATAAAACACTGATATATTCTTTTTTTCAGCTGCTGTCTGGCATCATTTCATCTATTTTTTTTACTGTTATGAAATAACAGTCATTGTACATTGTATGTGATTATTTGTTTTATTTCTGGATATAAAATATACCCTTGCTGATTTTCTTGTTTTTTTTTTCGCTTCATTTGGATAATAAATTGTTCTGTTTATTCATTTGGGAGCAGGAAAATATGTCTTTATCTCTGCTGGACTGTTTCTTCTCCTAAAAATCTGCATTTGTGACTCACATTTATCCGCAAACACACAACTCACATTTCAGATTGTAATTAACCAGGTTAAATCAGATCATCGTTACAATGATTAATTGTGCCTTCATTAACTGAAGCCAGATAATTTGCATACATTAAATCATAGTACAGGGAAGAGGTAGAAGTCTGTCTAGGCATTTTTTGTGAGAGGGAGATTTTATTCTCTTTTCCAGTTCTCTGTCAGTATTTTTTTTTTTACATGCATTAGGTTGCTCTCAGACATCTTGCCGAGATCTCCACAAAACAGGATCAGCCTGCCTGCCTGGAGCCGCACCACATTCTCACACAAATCAGACTCATACTGACAGCACTGGAGCTCCTCTCTGCCAGTGCACAAACACACACACGCAAGTGTACATACACACACTGCGATCGCATGCAGCTGGGTGTTCATCGGCAGAGAGAGCAGATTTTTAAATCCTTCTTTGCAACCTTTCTGAGGTGTGTGTACACACTTGCCTTAAAATCCTCCGCAGCTCAGGGATTTGAAACATTTTGCATATTCATCCTGGTGATTCTCAAGCTCTAAGAAGATAGAAAAAAGAAACAAGGCATGTAAAGTCACAACCACAAATATTCTCATTTGAACTACAAAATTTTTACAAGTTAATCAGGAAAATCATTGTCATCTAGCAATCAGTCACTATTTGGCCTGGGAAAGCAGAAAATCTATGCAACATTTAATATATAATGAAAATTAGTGACAGCGATATGTATGCGTCACTAGTTGTTGGGAACCGTGTGATTGCGCAAAGTGATGTTCTATTTTTTTCACATAGGCAGAACACTGATTCAGTTCACAAAAGTAGAATTTTTTTAAGATGGTTTAATGAGAGGTGGTTTCTCTCTGTTTCTCTTTCCACCTCGAGAGACTGTCAACAAACTGTTTTAATGTTCTGCTTCTGCACATTTCGTGTTAAATATAGAATTAATAGAATAAAACACTGATATATTCTTTTTTTCAGCTGCTGTCTGGCATCATTTCATCTATTTTTTTTACTGTTATGAAATAACAGTCATTGTACATTGTATGTGATTATTTGTTTTATTTCTGGATATAAAATATACCCTTGCTGATTTTCTTGTTTTTTTTTTCGCTTCATTTGGATAATAAATTGTTCTGTTTATTCATTTGGGAGCAGGAAAATATGTCTTTATCTCTGCTGGACTGTTTCTTCTCCTAAAAATCTGCATTTGTGACTCACATTTATCCGCAAACACACAACTCACATTTCAGATTGTAATTAACCAGGTTAAATCAGATCATCGTTACAATGATTAATTGTGCCTTCATTAACTGAAGCCAGATAATTTGCATACATTAAATCATAGTACAGGGAAGAGGTAGAAGTCTGTCTAGGCATTTTTTGTGAGAGGGAGATTTTATTCTCTTTTCCAGTTCTCTGTCAGTATTTTTTTTTTTACATGCATTAGGTTGCTCTCAGACATCTTGCCGAGCAAAATGACTAGAACGTTCCATCTGGATGCAGCTTTTTCAATTAGATTTCTATATGCACAGCATGTGTAGAATTCATATATCAAAGTAATGATTGTATTTTATGATTAAGTAAATCAATCAAGCAATGAAAACACTCAGAGCTAGATCTGAAGATGTTTTTACAAACATGAACTGACATTAAAAGCCAAGCGCAATCATGAGAAGCAATGGATCACTAACAGTGAGATCATTTATTTATCAGCGCGTTTTAACATATACCTATAAACAATCTGGAATAATTGAATAAAAATAAAACATTTTATTTGCAAAAGTAGCAAAACAGATGCAGCATATAACAGTAATTATGTTTGATTTTGGTATTCTCGTGCCAAGCACTCTCATGGGTTCTCGAACATCCAGAAGACACTGAAATTATTTCTAATCACTGTTAATAACCGCAGTTTTTTTTTTAATTAAGCATGACACATTGCCACTCGAGATGCTGCGCTAAGCAGGATACGGTGTGATTTCCAATTATAAAACATTTTTCAGCATTCAGCACAAATGATGGAAAGCTCTGAAATAGCACAAAAGTACAATTACAGGAAAAATGGCACGTTCTGACGAAACTACATCAGATTTGGTAGAGTTGTGGGTATTAATCCAAACACATGCAGATTTGCTATATTAAAAATTTCCAGTGCTGATTGGAGTTGCTGTTCATGTGCACACACACACACACTCCAGCAGTCCACGGGTTACAGCTGCTCTATGTCAAACGGCAGCGTGCTCGCTTTCTAACTTAATTTTTTAGCCATTTTTGAAGGTTACGTTCGTTCCTAAATTCGTTGGAGGGAGCTGAGAAACAAACAGAGATGAGGAGGAGAGGAGAGGGAATTGAAGAGCGATTGGCAAATGTCTGTTGGCAGTGCGAGAGATAGGCAG